CAAATGCTTTATAATTTAGTATAGATATTAATATTAATTATTTAATCATATGAGTTATTCTTATATTATTATTTTTTAGTTATTATTCAATATATTTAGTTATCAAAAAAATAATATAACAATTCTAAAAATGTTATGTAAGTTACATAAAAATTAAAATTATACTTATTTTGTTTTGTAGTTAGTAAAACTGTGTTTAATGATTTTAATAAAATATTTAATTTAACTACTAATCATATTCTTTTAAAATTATTAATTAGGATATATGAGTTTGCCTAATTTTATCTTTATTCATATTATATGTAATGGTTATTTAAAAGAGGAAAGTCTAAAAAAACCCAATGAACTTTAGTGTTTGGAATGATTACATCATTAGATAATTTTTTGAAACAAATAAGTCCTTCTACATTCCGAAACTTATTAAATAACTTATTGGACATTCCAAAACCTTATGACCTATGCAACTGTGGTAAAATAACGAAAAAAATCTGAAAAAAAAAGCCAATAGATTTTTATATTTTGAACGATTAATTTCTAAATATTTTTTAAACTAAAAAAGTACTTACATCTTTAGTTGTAGTTGTCATTTGTTTTTCTTAATTTTGTTGTTAATTCCTTCTTGCCTTCTTTCTTCCCTTAATCTCGTTTAATTTATGTCCAATTAGTATAATAACCAATCAATTATATGTTCCACATAACTAGACAATAATTGTTAAGTGGTTAGCGTTTAGATCGTCATCTCCTTGTGATCGACCTGTATGCTACATATCCCGTACGTTTGCGGTATAAATTTAAAACAACATCATAGCTGATAAGCTAGCTGATGGCTTCTAATTGTTCGTTTATAAGCTAGCTGATAGCTAATAAGCTAACTGATGAACAAATCATGTTTGGTAAAACTAACTGATAAGAATGTAAAATGACAAAAAAAGTATTTTGAAACATTAATTAATTATAATATTTCAAAATATAATTGAAAAGATCTAATAATATAATATATTAACTAATACAAACAAGATATTAAGAAATTAAAAAAATATAATCAATATAATGAATTTTAAATTGATTATTATAAATATTATAATATTTGAATTTGTTAAAACAAATT